AACACCCTCATTTCCACCACCGCCCTGTCATTTCCATCACCACACACATTTTTTAAAAAATATTTTAAAAGTTCTCATCACACATTAAAAATGTATCCACAATTTATGAGATCATGCTCTACTTAATATAGAAATTCAAGTTATTTATTTTCTAATAAGCTCTTGCCCAAACCAAAATTAAATTTTAGAGTGTGACAGGTGTACAGTTCAGAATTTGACCCAACATATATAAATGTACGATCTGCAACACATTTGATTTATTGCCTGTTCCCCCAGGACATGGCAGACAATACAAAACCCACAATTTTCTGAAAAACAAAATGACATCATTAATTTTATTATTAAGCCAGTGCTGATTGTGAGAGATGTGAGTTTCCCCAGTCTCAGCTGCTGCCTCTCTTGTTCTTTTTCTCCCTTGTCAATCTTCTCATCCCACCTGTTCATGACTTCCAGGATTCATCATCCCAAGAGACAACAGATGGTGAGGGCATGCTACTGATGTGAAGAGAGTCTCAGATCACCAACAACAGAGCACCCTTCTGTTTCTGACACATTAATGTGTGGGAACATTCTACATTCAGTCATTCAAACGAAAAAGCCATATTATTTTTACATGACCTTTTACAGGCAGTAGTGTTTTTACCAGAAGAACCACATACTATCTATATCCTCACAAATAGATGTTATTTGCTTTATTTTAAACAGCAACATAAATTTGATCTATTTAAGTGTTCATTGTAAACGCTCCACTATTATTCCGGTCCACGAAACCCCCCGAAATCACTGGCCTTAATGACTACAGACCTGTTGCTCTCACATCTGTGGTCATGAAGTCATTAGAGAGAAGGTGTTGGACCACCTGAAGGACATCACTGGACTCTTGCTGGATCCTCTAAACAGGTCTGTGAACATGGGACTGCATTATATCCTGCAACATCTCGACAGACCCGCGAGGATGTTATTTGTGGGCTTTAGTTCGGCTTTCAACACCATGAGACCAGATCGTCTATACTAACTGACCCATGCTGTATGTGCCCACCTTAATCTGTCAGTGGATCACCAGCTTTCTGACGGAAAGGCAGCAGCTAGTGAGGGGAAACTCACATCCAGCACTCTCACTTCTGAATTAAACTAAATTTAGGAGCCTAGGCATCCCACAGAAATGATCCCTGGTGTAGCTGCTGATCAAGCATCCCACCAGGATTTGATCTTTGAAAAGCTGTGGGGACTCAGTGTTTATTTTGCCAGCAGGGGCCGCTAGAGACCATTCTGGACACTGTTTATGAGTTAGGAAGAAGATTTCAGTCTCGTGGAACTATGACCACTATGAATTTGGGGATAGGTTTGGGACATGGATGACGTCTAAACTCCTGAGACCTGACAGGAGCATCTTAGCTATGGCAGGCAAAGCTCTGGAAACCTGAATAAAGTGTTAAATAAACAATTTTGGCATTTCTTCTTGACATTTTTCCTGAATGATGAATTAAAGGGACAGTCACCCAAAAATTCTGTCATTAATTAATCACCCCCATGTCGTTCCAAACCCAATAGACTTTCGTTCATATTCGGAACTCAAATTAATGAACATCTTTTTGATAAAATCTGAGGTTTCTGTCCCTCCATTGACAGCTATGCAACAACTAGGCCTAGGCTACTACTCTGAAGCTTCAAAAAGTTCATAAAGAGATCGGAAAGCTAATCCATATTAATTGAGCGGTTTATTCCAATTTCTTCCAATCACAATTATAAAATTCATGACAACGGGGCTCCAACATCTAGTTTAATTCACAAGTTCGTGTAGCTGTGACACTGTAAAATCTGTTTTCTCCACTAGATGGTGACATTTCAAAACACAATAACAAGTTCAGCTTCGCACGAAAGATGGGTGGCTTTCATGCAAGAAAGCGGTTAACATTAACAGGATAATTATGACATTATTAGCCTATTTCCCACATAATTAAATGTTAATAAACAATAATAAATACGAAATCTTAGATCCACCTGAGCTGGCATCTACAGAGGAAGCATAGGCTATAAAGACACGCGCATCATCCTAGACGCAGTGAAATGAACAAATAATGTCATGAACACATCGACCATCAACTGTAATCGTATTTCTTGATTTTCAACGAGTTTATGTTATTATCTACAGGAGCTAATTGTTTATAAATGTGCCATGTGATAATAGGCCTAACCCTTTTTTTATTTTTATTTTTTTGCTACATGCATCACCTGAGACGAAAATGAAAACAGTGTAGGCCTACACACATAATCATGTTATGGGTCACAGTAGGCTATGGATCTATAGATTTCAGACACTGAGTTTGTTGCTGGCCTTTAACTATAGAGAAAATCCTCCTATTGGCATTATTATACATTACAAAGTATATAACCAGCATAACAAAAGTTTTTGCTCCCTTTCTGCTGTAATAGCACAGCAACACTTTGAGCTCCACAAGTTTGTGCAAATAACACTAAATAATATTGTCTGTCATCCCTATGTTCACCAGATTTATATGACACACATAATGAGCACTGTAACGGCGTGGTGGTAGTTGAAGGCACAAGACGAAGATGAGGGTATAACACAATGTTTACTGGTAAAACTCAGACATAAACACAACCACGACTAACATTAAAGGGATAGTTCACTTTGAAATTATTTTTTGATATGTTTTAGCTTACCTCAAGGGCATCCAAGATGAAGGTGTCTTTGTGTCCACAGTATTTTCAATATTTTCGTATTTTCAAGGTTTCACTTCCGGCGCTTTCCGGAAAAGACCGAACCGCCGGCGCCGTCATCTCTTGGACCTGGCTGTGTTTACAAGAGGTAAAAACGATATAAATACTGTTCGTTTTCTCACACAAACCGCTCGTTTCGTGTCTTAGGCCATCAATGTGTACTTACATTTACGAGTCATTAAATCATGTTTAATTTGGACTTCTCTGTGCATGCTCTTTGAGGTGGTGACCATAGACCTGCATTATATGACTGACAGACAAGAACAGTTTGACCTAAAAATATCAAAATTGAAAATACTGTGAACACAAAGACACCTACATCTTGGATGCCCTTGAGGTAAGCTAAAACATATCAAAAATTAATTTCAAAGTGAACTATCCCTTTAAGGAGAGCCGACAAGGGACTGAACAGAACGGAGTATAAATACACAGGGTGAAATCAGGAAACTAGCTAGACACAGGTGGAGGAAGATTAACTAATCAGGGATTAACAGAACAGGTTAATCTTATTCAAGACAAGAAAGAACATAATTGTGACAGACCACATGGAAATTGTCCCATGTTTCTTATGTTTAAATCACTTCAAATATTTGTAATATTAACTTGGTTATTGGTTAAGATCTAACAGAGATATTACAATACTTTTAAATGTACAGATTTTGAAAGTTATCTTTATCTACAGTGGGTGGGGGTGGGGGGGTGGGGGACATAAACTGACATTTATACAATTGCCTGCATGACAATTTACATTGGATGGTATTTTGTTTATATAAAAGTTTCTTGTTAGATTTTGTTTTTAATTGTGTATATGGGGTTTATGTTACATCTTATTTTTTTTAAATAACGTTTATTCATTATTTTAGTGTCGTTTGTAAGCATGATGGTGTTTTGTAAATGTATGACACTGTGTGCACCTTCCATGTATTCAGTATATTATCAGTATATACAGGCACAACACAGGTTTTGTTACTTTAGATGGAATATTAACATTATATCAGTTAATGAAATATATAGTTTAACATGAATTTAACTTGTTAAATTTAAAATGTTGCTACCTTTTGTTTACGGTAATGTGCTGACAACCACAGATGGTGTTTGTTTTTTACTGTACATTTTACAGGTTTGTTTTTTACTGTGTGAGAACCTGAAAAAATATATTCCCACGTTCTGTATTTGTATGACATGGGTTATTGTGGGAACTTGTCAAAGGGGTTTTCTGTTCCCCAGCACTGCCGTATGGCTCTCAATGATAGGCCTAGATTGAGGGAACTAGACAAATGGTTGCACAGTAATTGAATCACAAAAGACAAAAGAGATAGCTCCTTTATTTTAGAAGTTTATAAGTTGATAGGGCCCTGGGGAAAGAAGTCCTTACCTTTTAAAAAAATGACTTAATGTATATTAACAGACCATTGAACTGGCCTGGGGGACATATAGGAACCTTTTTCACATGTTCATATAAATCTGGGATATGCTCCCGTTTGAGGACTTTAATTACTACTAATCATGTTAATATTATTAAGGAAAATTATTGTAAAATGCTACCACAAAAAAATCAAAAAGGAAGAGATGATTTGAGAGAGAATTTCATTGTTTATTATTAGAAGAAACATAAAATAGAACATATACACTACCGGTCAAAAATCTGAAATCATTCAATGATTTTGCTGCTTAAAATTTGAGGACACTGTGATACATAACTTTTTAAAAAATTGCGGTAAGTAAGGATGCATTAATTGATCATAGGTTACAGTAAAGACATGTATAATGTAACAAAAAAAATTCAATTTCAAATAAATGCTGTTATTTTGTACTTTCTATTCATCAAATGATCAAAAATGTGAAGCAGCACAACCGTTTTCAACATTGATAATAATAAGAAATGTTTCTTGAGCAGCAAATCAGCATTGTAGTATGATTTCTGAAGGACCATGTGACACTGAAGACTGGAGTAATGATGCTGAAAATTCAGCGAATACATAAAAATATATTAAAATAGAAAACAGTTATTTTACATTTTGATAATATTTCACAATAATACTGTTTTTACTGACGAAATAAATGCAGCCTTGGTGAACATAAGAGAGACTTCTTTCAAAAACATTTAAAAAAAATCTTCAGGATTCCAAACTTTTGACCGGTAGTGTAAACAACATCTAAACGGTCCCTCATTTGATAAATGACACATGACAGTTTGTATTTGTGTGATTCCTCACAAGATAATATTGTAAACTGTATGAATACTGCATTTGGAGGTGTCTTCAAGTGTTATTTTACTACTAATGAACTACCAGTTGACTTCCACAGCATACTATAACTGCACCATCTGTCAAATCACTCAAAACACAACTAGGCTACTTCAAAAAGGTTGCTACTGTTGTGAGATCGAGAGGAAGGCTTATGTTAATTCGTGTAGTTATGTTCAAATCAGTGGTTGGGCAACTGCAAGTTGTCTATTCCACAAATCTATATTGGCAAAATATTGGGCGATTATGCAAAGATACACTGAGATTACTGCGAGTACAGCACCCGTAATCAAAGTCTCTATTAACAGAATACGAGCCGTTCTTTTCCAGTGAGGAGAGGAGCCAATGCAGCTCACAGGACGTCCCAGCCAGGCGGCTCTCCCGTGACTAGGCATTGGCATGAGGTTAAACTCGGCTCTCCGTTTGGACAGCGTCGAAGTGTCTATGCCAGCGGTGTGACCGGCATCACTGATACGCGAGGCAGTTGTGCGGCGTGCACTCCTCTTGTTCCTCCAGCTCGGGACACGGCGTGCCACTGTTGGCGGGTTTCAGCAGGATATATCGGGTGCGATGGCGAAGTCCGCCCCGAGAGCACGGCCCCAGACACAGGCCCCAGGACGACCACATCGACACCTCGCAGTCCAGCGGCGTTTCTGAAACACATGCAGGAATCATGAGGATCGCTAGTCTGGAAGCAATCCGTCAGGAGATTATGTTTCTGTGGCTGTTTATGCATGGTCAGATAGAGAAAAACAGGCCACTGACGTAATCTAGGGCAGGCCGGCTCATATAGCCCAAATAATTGAAGAAATGTGTATTATAGAGTAGGTTTATGAAGTCCCGATAGCAACATGTGATAGAAAATTGTAATACTAACCCCCGGTAAGATTTATAAGCTATATAGTCGCAGACTAAAACACATGTTTGGGCTGTTTTAAGTCAAAGCAACTAACACATATCTTAACATATATATTAGTTCCATTGTTTTGTCTCAAGATGCACACCAGTAATGTGTTTTTCTAATGCACATTTATAAAAGCAACTTAAATGTCCTAAATGAACTAAGGCCTAATCTTGGCTTAATCTAAGCCCTGTCTGTAAAACCGGGCCTGAATCTCTTAAAGTGCCGCTATTATGCTTTCTCGGATATTTTCTTTCATGTATGGCTCATGTATTTCATATGGCTGTTTTTGAATGTAAAAGGCCTGGAAGTTTCAACGATCAAAGTGCAGATAAATGGTGTTATTGTCTCTTAAAAGAAAGAACAGATTCTAAACTGTCTGAAACGAGTCGCCAGTGATTCTAGTACTTTCCCGCTCAAACATAAGGTCTGTAACAAATTTGCATAATGCCAGCCTATGGTCTTCATTGGCTGTCCGCAAACAACGTCTACTTTGATCTTCAAACACTGTAGTTGTGGCTGAGGCCTGGAAGAGTTTGGTTCGTTTTGTCGACATGTCGAAAAGACCCTGTTTTCTGCTCTGTGAAAGCAAATCCACTTTTCATGCACTTCCAAAGGATGAGGACTCTCGCTCGAATGGATACATTAAAACTGACGCCATCGTTACTGTTCGCATCACTGTGTATCAAGCGCTGAGGAAGATTCAGAGCTGAAAATCAGATATGCATATGCATTTTTTTGGAGACCTCTAAAACAAAATTAGGAACCTTTAAAATAGCATAATAGGGGCACTTTAAAAAAGAAATTGAAACCAGCACATCAGTTAGTGGAACAACGCACATGCTAAAAGTTTTGTGGAAGCAAATAAAAAGAGTTTACCACATGTGGCGTGCATTAGGGTTCATCAAGTCTAAACTGTTTACTTGGCCTAAAAACACATTAAATCATGCACAATGCTGTGGTGAACCAAAACATCTTGAAGAAGCACATTACACTTCTTTTTTGGATTTACCATCCAAATAAAAAGAAGATCCCGATCAAGAGACGCAATACTATGGAAACCTGTTTCCGCCACAGAATGAAAAATAAAAAAGGTAATTGCGACATTTTATCTCACAATTCTGACTTTTTTTCTCACAATTGCGAGTTTACATCTCGCAATTCTGACTTTATTTCTTAGAATTGCGAGACATAAAGTCAGAATTGCGTGATATAAAGTCGCAATTGCGTGTTATAAAGTCAGAATTGCGAGATATAAAGTCAGAATTGATTGATATAAAGTCAGAATTGCGAGATATAAAGTCAGAATTGTGAGATATAAAGTCAGAATTGCGAGATATAAAGTCAGAATTGAGAGATATAAAGTCAGAATTGCGAGATATAAAGTCAGAATTGCGTGATATAAAGTCGAAATTGCGTGTTGTAAAGTCAGAATTGCGTGTTGTAAAGTCAGAATTGCGTGATATAAAGTCAAAATTGCGTGTTGTAAAGTCAGAATTGTGAGATATAAAGTCAGAATTGTGAGATATAAAGTCAGAATTGTGAGATATAAAGTCAGAATTGCGAGATAAAAAGTCAGAATTGCGAGATATAAAGTCAGAATTGCGAGATATAAAATCAGAATTGCGTGATATAAAGTCGAAATTGCGTGTTGTAAAGTCAGAATTGCGAGATATAAAGTCAGAATTGCGAGATATAAAATCAGAATTGCGAGATATAAAATCAGAATTGCGTGATATAAAGTCGAAATTGCGTGTTGTAAAGTCAGAATTGCGTGATATAAAGTCAGAATTGCGTGTTGTAAAGTCAGAATTGCGTGTTGTAAAGTCAGAATTGCGTGATATAAAGTCGAAATTGCGTGTTGTAAAGTCAGATTTGTGAGATATAAACTATTCTGAGGGGAAAAAAGTTAGTCTTTTTCCCCCCTTAGAATTGGCCTGATAACTCGCAATTGCGAGTTTATATCTCACAATTCTGAGAAAAGATGTCCGAATTTCGAGATATAAACTCGCAATTGTGAGAAAAAAAGTCAGAATTGCGCGATGTAAACTCGCAATTGTGAGAAAAAAAGTCAGAATTGTGAGATAAAAAGTCGCACTTCTGTCTTTTTTTCTCGCAATTGCGACTTTATTTCTCATAATTGCGACTTTATATCTCGCAATTGCGACTTTATTTCTCAGAATTGCGACTTTATATCTCGCAATTGCGACTTTATTTCTCACAATTCTGACTTCATATCTCGCAATTGTGAGATAAAAAGTCGCAATTATTTTTTTTTATTTTTTTTTTATTCAGTGGCGGAAACAAGCTTCCATACTGCAATTGCATGTGAGAAATGTGTATGCAGATCTACCTGAGAATCTGTGAGGTTTGGTTGCTTCAGGCAGGATGTGATTGGACACCCGGTTCTGTTGACGGACAGGTGAGCGGCTCTGACGCTTCAACCATATGGTGGCCAGAGGAGGGAGATCTGCTAGCCGAGGGTAATAGAAGGAATTTGCTGGGTGGTTTGGCTTCTGAGAGGTAATCTGCATCAGAATAAAACAACAGAGACATGTTGATTTATTCTTAGTCAAAAATATTGCAAATACATTAGTGGCCAAAAGTGACGTCCGGCTTACGGAAATGGACATTTTCACCTTTTATTTAAATGTTGTTAAAAATGTGTTAATGATTCTGTAGCATTGGCAATGAAACATGCCAAAATGTGCAGACATCATTTTTGGCCAGGTTATCATACAAAGAAATGATAAACGCATGCAAACACAAGTGAGAACCAACAAAATATTAATAACTGATTATGCTCTAGTCAATGGATCCTTTTTCCTGTGAGCTTTTTGTTTTTCTATGCATTATTTCTGTATAGTAAAATAAAATCTGTAGCTGTAATTTGCCTCTTTTTTTTTTGTTGCCAAAATGATTTAGCCAGATTAATACCTTAACCCTCTGGACCTTTTCCTTTACTTGGCTCATTCTCGGTCAAAAGTGACCGAAGCCTTGAAATGTAACTTCTTTTTTTTTTTCAGGAAAATCAATGTAATATATTTTTGTTCAATAATATTTTTTGATCATTATTTAGAATTTTCAGGGTATTTTATGATACTATGCAACATTTATAAAAAAATGTTTTCCATTAGAATACATTTTTTTTTTCAATAAATCCAATTTTCACATTAAAATAGAGTGAAGGCCTTTAAAATCCTTTTTTTTTTTAAGTGAGAATAGTGTCATCTGGAGTCGTTAAAAAAATAAAACCTTCCCTATATAAATACTGTATATAGAGAGGGTTTTGGATTCCCATTGTTTTTTTTAGACATAATTTCTTAATTTTATTAGGTTTTGCATTTAGATATTTAGACATTATAAGACTCCTTTTTGTCAAGGTTTAGATATTTTTTGTCAGATAAGTGTCAGGTTTTGCATTATGATTACAATCAAACATTAAAAGTTTGTAAGAAAGGGCATTTTTGATCATTAAAATATCTAAAATAAGAATGGATAGTGATAATTCTTCATTGCTGTGCACTTTTTTTCTGCACAGTGGCTGATTTGTAGTTTGTACCACCAAAATATTCTCTGAGTTTTCATATTTTTTCGTGTTTCCCATTAATTTCCTATGTCGGTCATTTTTGACCGTGAAGGAGCCAAGTGTGAAAGAATTTTTTTTTTTCCTTAACATATCTGAATCATGTCCATGATTGTTTTGTGTGTTCACATAACTAATGCGACAAAAGTAACCAAGTGTCATCCCATTCCAAAGCAGCAAAAAAAATCGAAAAATTCCAAACGTAACATTTTTCGAAGACGCATATTTAAAATATTTAAATAATATATCAAATATTTTTTTCATTTTAAACCTTTTACATTGTATTAAAATATAAAAAAAATAATATATCACCATGGTGATATTTTCAGGAGGTGTTGTAGGAAAGTTCGGTGAAGAGAAAGTGAAGCCACTGTCTGTGCCGGCATCAAATGGGTGCAAGTCAAAGGTCACTTCCTGTTTCCACTGCCCACCCTCACACAGGTTCAGGCTGTCAATCCCCACAAACCAGTCTGGACTGGGGATCACTTTCACTATCAGAGACAGCTGTGAGAGAAAACACAAGATCAGTCACTCTCATGTTGAAAACATACACACGTTATCAACCCTGATTGACCTTTGGCAATGTACTTCTTTTTTTCAGCATGCTCTGCTAACATAATTGGCTTCATAAGTCACATCTGAAACTTTTCTTTGTAGCCATTTCCAGTATTTTCCACTCCTTCCTGTGTATGTTAGGTTAAACCATCTGTTTTTTTTTTTTAAATGGTGATGAATGTTTCCTTTTTGACTGTGACCTCATTCAGGAGGATCCCTTCGGTCGGAGCAGAATGAGGGAATAGCCACACGACACAGTCGCACAGAGAGAAACCAGGCAGCCATACTGTGACAATGGCTATTTCAGGATGAGCGCAAGCCTAATATAGAGCCAAGGATGATTCATCAGACATACAATAAAACCTGACAGATCCTGTCTGCTTGAGTTCATTTAAGGTATATATCAGTCAAACCTCTCTATAAAAGAGAAATCACAAGGTAGATTCATATTTTCTGACTAAAATGTGAGTGGAAGTCTCGCCAGCAGGGTTGCAGGAACATCGCTGTGCAGTTGCTACAATGTTCAGAGTGATTTTAGTGTGTGGTTGCTAGGGTGTTGCTAGTGTGTTCTGGGTAGTTGCTTACTAGTGCTATAAAGGGAATGATCTTTTTAATACACTCTTAAAAATAAAGTTTCTTTATTGGCATCAATGGTCAATTTCGGGGTTAACGCATTACAAGTAATGCAAGTTACGTAATCAATTACTTTTGTTAAGTAACTAATGTAACGCATTAGTTTTAAATTCACAACAAAATATCTGAATTATTTTATAAGAAATGCTAGTTTGTTTTCCCATTAATTGACTGACAGCTCTCCTGTCCCCATGTTGAGAAGAATCACGATTAAGTGCAGAGGCGTTGTTGTGTGCGCTGTGCGAACTCAAATGCAACCCGATCACACTAAATGCGTCTCTATAGCACGCAGTGTGTTTATCGTGCAATTTATACGCGAAAATTAGTTTTTACGTGTATAGGATACGCATGGGGTGGTTAGGGTAGGTTTAGTAGTGGTGTGGGGTGCGTGTGTATTACACGCAAATGAACTGCGTATCAAATGCACGCGAAAACGGCGTATCATATGCACGTAAAAACTAATTTTCTCGTATAAATTGCACGATAAAACACAATGCGTGCTATAGAGACGCATTTACGTGAGAACAGCTCTAAATGTGAACATGCATTTATTCATCTCACTTGCACAAAGTGAATAAAAAACATTACCACCATTTACCGTGACAATGTTAAAGAATACCAATATACTTTATGTATTTAATCTCACTTTATTAACCAATGCATCAATGCTGCTAACCTTCAATAATCCAATTCCATCATAAGCAGTCTCTACTGTACAGGCATGGATTTGCATTTCCTTCAGCTTGAGGCTTATTCATTTCATTTTTGGTGTGAAAGGGCTTTTACATTTGGCAAAAATAGAACTTTTAGAAATAGAAGCAAGCCCTGCGCAGGTGAGAAAAAGTAACACAAAAGTAATGCAACACATTACTGTCCATAAGAATTAACACAATTAGTTACTTTTTTATGGAGTATAACACAATATTGTAATGCATTACTTTTAAAAGTAACTATCCCCAACACTGTCAATGGTTTCAGTGAAGTCTTTCCATTCCACAAAATGTTCTTTAGAGAGGAAAAAGGTTCGTTAGATTATTAAAATGTTCTTCACACCAAGTAAAATAAGGTTCTTTGGGAAACCTAAAATGGTATTTCTATGGCATTGCTGCGAAAAATCCCTTTGGTACTTTAAGAGTGTACCTAAATAGTTTTTTCTTTTTTTTGGAAAAGCAAAAGGAGATTTTATTGAATGTCCTGCTTCTTAGATTTGTCTCTTGAGAAAAGAGAAATCAAAAATGCCTCAAACTGCTCAGAATTGCTGATATGCAACAACAAACGAAATCTAAAGATATGCACAAGCAAAAACACGCGCATCGACAGAACTATATTGTTCTATAATCTCTATGTAAACTATTTTTATGGAATTCTAAGCAAGTAATTTGAGGCAAAGTTGATACTTAAAGCATAATTTAAAAATAAAGTGATATGAATTTTGATATGAATGAATTCAAATGCTAAATTCACCAAAACCCCTAGAAGAAAAAGTTGTTCAGCTAGGAAACTGGCATATTTATTTTAACTTGTCCTATCAAAGCTGCTGTTTTTACTGAGGAACAGTTCTTGAAACTAATGAAATCATATAATTAATCAAGGTAAATTATTGTATACTACAGGAGCCTTGGAGTCAAAAAGGTTGAGAATCACTGGATTCTCTTGCACTTTGGAAGAGCAACCTTTTCCCCTGGGACAAACTTAAGCAACACTACCTCGCTTTTTATAGTACGCATTTTAGTGTGAATTACTTACAATCCATCATTCCCAAAGCAAACATTAAAACCAGGACCGATATAGTCGGCACTTTGCATCCATATTTGGGCCACAATTTTGGTACCTTGTGACAACATCCAGTCTACAGCTGACTTTTCTCCAGGCTGGATTTACTCTTGTCTCTCCCTCACATCTCTTCTCATTCTGTGGCTTTTCCAGGAATACCTCCTGCTATATCAATTTCTCTGGCGTGAGAAGCGAGCGGTGCCTCATCCCTCTTCTGTGTGTTCTGACCCCAAGCTAATAGAGCTCAATCTCCCTTCAGGGCACAAAGTCACACTAACACATAATTGCCAAACCAATGCCCTGATTTGCCAGAACAGAGCATCAGGAAAAATAATACACAACTATTCTATAATACATATCTATTCCTCTGTCTGTCTGCATGTGCTGCTGGAACACGCTGTGGTTTTTTGCATGGCTCGCACTTTGTAGAAATACACACTGTCTGGATCCTATTAAAGGCAAAAAGAACCTTTAGTAATTTTGGAGTGCATTTGGCCGTTTTTGATTACCTTATTTTCCTGTTGATTTGAGGTTGTTGGTCATGCGTGTGCGGGAAGCTGAAATCGGACACCGCAGTCTTTTTTGGAGATCTTAAATAGTTAAACACTGTTCAATGTCGGCTGCAGCACAAATGTGTATTTGTAGTTTCTCAGAAAATGCTAAGGCGGCATCAAGGTAGGTCTGTTACAGTTACTGTTTACAGATGTTACTGTTTTTTTAAAGTAAATAAATTTAAATCCACATCCCAACTTAAGCTATACCTACTGCTACTGTCAACTCAAGTTACTGTCAAATGTGCATTTCCATTTTTTGATGCTTTAAATGTACTGAAAAATAAAATACTTTGTTACTGTCCATTGCTATGCTGTTGCTAGTGTTGGAATATCTGTATGATATATATATTGTAGAGTAATTAATGTTCAATCTAACAATCAAAGTATGAGGACAATATTTTATACTTTTTAAATATATTAAAAAAGAGGGAAGAACAAACCACTAAACTTAGTTAAGGAATTTATCTGACAAATTATTTGGCAAAAATGGCAAACTACAGCTACAAGTTTTATATTACTACCAAAAAAAAAAGGCGTAAAAGAACAAAAAGCTCACAGCAAAAAACCTACACGGTCTACAACATAACCAGTTATTAATATTTTCATTGGTTCTCGCTTGTTTTTGCATGTGTTCATAATTTCTTTGTAAGACAGCCTGGCCAAAAAATCATGTCTGCACAATTTAGCATGTTTCATTGCGTTACCACAAATAAACCAATTGACTCCAAGCACAACTACACAATATGCTTAATTTTGCTTAATGCTTGATTTGTAATAATATTTGAATAAAGGGTGAACATGTCAATTAACCTACTGTAGGTTGGACATCACTTTTTTGCAACTGTTACTTAAAATTATGTTTATTCGATGACTTACCATGTAGTTAGGGTTTTAATAAAATAATAAATGAACAAATATTTTGAAATTGCATGTCAAAAAAGCATTTGCTTTCGATATTTCTTGGGTTCCTTTAATACGTTTTCTGGGATTATAAAGTCTGATCACTAAGAACAATAATACGTCAGATCTACAAGCCGTGTGACAAATCACTCGCTGAAGTTTAATACTATTAAATATGCTTAATATTAAGATGTAAGCAATCAGTTCATCAATAATAAGCGAACAGACACTCACAGCTCTCTCACACACACACACACACGTCACAGTCTCACCCCAAGGCCACATTCATACTCTCAGTCGTACTTTACTGCCCTGCGGATCTAAAAACAGCAGCGCCACAGCAGACATCCCGCCATGCTGTGGTTAAATGCCAGCAGGACTGAATGCCAAGCGCATCTGAGGGTAGTTGCCATTTTTAATAAGTCTACCTTGTATTCCAGACTTTGGCAATAAAGATATGTAGGTCACCAGCAGCACCAGCGCTCCCTTTAGACCCTATAACCAACTGACTCGTGGCTAAGGAAAATAAATATTCCAGAAAGTGAGAAGGAAAGGATCCAGCCTCTCTCTATCTGCAGATCTGGTGGGTTCAGGAAACCCAGCACAGGAGCCGGAAGGGAGGGAGTGAGTGAGTGAGGCTTGTGGTCTGGAGGTCCCGGGACTCTGGATGTGGTTTTGGAGACTTGCGCTCTGGTGAAGTCTGTCTATGTGCAATATAGAACTAATTTGTGTCATTAAAGTCTGATCCTAAAACTGAATGACGTATGCAGGACTTCTCCAATCATTTAGTCCTCTTAAACCCACTCCTGCAAGCTCCTGTTCATCCGCCTCCACAAATGATGCACCAAGTCTATACGACCTACATTTTTTATTTTTCGAGTCACAATACGGAGATGCAATCACAAATCGGTCTGGTGTTAATCAGAAGACTAACTAAAAAGCAAGTAAACTCACACACTAAGATATCACTGTTTGTCAGGTCAACATTAAGTGTAACTGGAACATGAATTTACAAAACAGTGAGGACTTTGCCTCCTCATTTTAGAGTGCACGCCACTGCGTAGTGCAACGAAAATGTCTGAAACTAAATGGTCAAAACTGTTGGAATGAGAACAACTGCCAAGGGCGGATCTAAGAAAAGGCATTGCCAGCACATCTGCCACCCCAGATTTATCCCATTAAAAATATAAATCTAAGTAGTGTTTTATGTACCTCTTTTCAGTAGCGGCGCTTCAATGTGATGGCATATAAAAAAAATATTGTGGAAAATGTTGTCTTTGCGGTCTGGACACGCCGTGTGGTCGACTTCATTAACAGACGACACTTATGAACCGAGTCAAAAGCACACAGCACAACCAGTTCACAAACAAATGGACTGTTTTTCCCTGTTTATGAATCGAAAAATTCAAGAAATCTGAGAAATGTAATCCCTTCCCATTCACAATGTTTCTCATTGTTTAAGTTGACCGTTGTCGTGTACCGTTTTCGAGTGGTTCGAGACTTAAAAGACATTTTTGAGTCTTAAAATTTTAAATAATTTGAAGGTATGGATGGATGGCAGTCTCATTGCTTTGATACGTTTTTACTTCATGTTTGTAGTTTAACTTGATGCACTAAAACTTGTGATTAATATATTATTCAAGAAGCCTACGGTATATTAATATGTTGACAGTGCAGTGGATATTGATATTTTCTAATTTTTATTCTAATTATTTTCAAACAGTATAGATGATTACTTTGTGGTAATGTAATAGTTTCGAATTTTCAGGGCACAATTGTTTATGCCAAGCCATAAATCCACGAGAATGATGCATAGGTGCTTGCTTTGGTGTTGTCACATGGCAACCCCTTGCTACACTACAAAAATGTTCTGAATGTCCCTTTCTACAAGCCATCCTAGTGATCATTGTTTCCAAAGATCTGTTTTCATTTCAATTCCAATGAGGCAGATTTACCTACTTTTCTACTGGGAAAATCAAACATTCCTTATCAAAATAGATACAGTGTTATTCAATAACCTAAGCTCTTTGAGTAATTCATGAACTGACATACCCAAATTGTTTTTAGGTACAGAAAAAATGTAGGAACACAACGATGATCCATATTGTGTGGTGACTATGGCCATCTCACCAGCGGACTCCTGGGCGTCAGAAGTATCTCAGTGGAGCTGTGGCCGATGCCAGAGGGAATCCCAGCTGTGCGGTACATGGACCCCACCGCTCGCCCCTTCCTCGCCTCCTTCGCATCCTTCACCAGATCCACTGTGAGCCCCTGCTCAGCAAAGCTCTTCAAGCCATCGCTCGCCGGCGCCCCCTCCTGCCACAGCCGGAACTGCTCATTATGGGTCACGGCTGCACAGATTCACAGGTAAAATGTAAATGGTAAACTCAGAGGAAACATATTTCAATTGCTCATGTTCTCAGGCCTCGTGATTCCTCGGGCAGGTTCTGTCGTGGCCTGTTGAACATTACTACCACTCCATGAATTTTTATTGCTCATCAGATTTCAAAAAACACAAATACAGTTCTGCCACTTTCTATGTTTGCTTAACACACCTCGAGCTGCAATGCCAAGAGAATAAACACCTAAAAACAAACCCTTCAGTGAGAAAAGCCAGACCTATGAGTCTAGTGTGCATCTAAAGTGCAGGGGTGACCGAGACTGTTATGTAAGAGATAATATCAGTGTTTGCAATGCGGAAAAAAGGTTTTGAGTAAAATTATGTTTTCGGTATTGGTTCTGAGTAAATTAATCACTTTGACATTGTCATGACATTCAGCGTGTAGTTCATTGAACTCAAAAATCACTATGCACTATACAGTGGTTAAATGTGTGCAAGGAAGAAAGACCAATCACAGTTCACAGTGCAAACAGGCATAAAGACCAATCACAGTTCAGTATGCAAACAGATATTAAGACCAATCACAAACTGGTATGCAAATATTACGACACGGTCTTCACTCAGTCACATGGCATTTTAACGTCAAAGGGAGCTTTACAAACTTTATTTTTACAAAAAACTAATATTGCACACCCGAGTAGTAAGATGATAAAAACTGTGAAGCAGCACATTTTCAGGTTCCTTCTACTTTGCATGCAGATTTCTGTGATTCGTAGCAAAAACTGTCCATAACTTATGCACGTCCAGATTTTGCAACATTCTTTTCCAAAAAATGTAGTCCTAACCCTATCCCTACCCCTAAACCTTACCCTACAGATAACCTATCCCTAAAATCAGAGGGAAATGATGAGATTTGAATAATGAATAACATAATGAATAACACCGATGTAGAAGCACCTAACTCCTAGCCTGGTTAAAATCAGATCATTCTCAGTTGTAACTGAGTTATGGTCTGGCAAAGCGTCATAGACAAATCATTTCCAGAGGGGCGTCACCAACGGACGTCGCGGATAGACCTAAAACCAATCAGAGCGATGAAGGAGATGACGTATGCAGAGCGGCGGAGAAACATCTCCGAGTGTTGTTCTTTGCTCGGTTTTTAAGAAAAAGGAAACGTTCAAATCGCTTAAAACAGACGCGATAGCTGATTCGAACGAGTGATGTTCGACGCCGGCATCCATCTTTGTAATGTAGGCTACAAAATCTGCTTCAAAATCCCAGCGCTGTCATCATCGTGTAAAGCCCGCCCCAACGTTTCTGATTGGTGCCTCGATTTCGACGGATTGGAAATGGGCTTGAATGAGCTCTTTGCCAGACTAACTTTCAGAGCAAATCTAAATTTGCCGGAAGTTGTCTGGGTTTTCCCAGGCTACCTAACTCCTGATTCTAAACTCAAATCTGTTTGGTTGATTGGAATATTGTTCCAGGAACATGTTGCACTTGGTGAAACCAGGTTGTGCGACTACATATTCAAGCACGTTATATGAACTTATTTTTTAGAGCTTAACAGACGTGGTCTTTAACAAATATTTGACAATTTGCTTTTGTTTCCTTTTTCTAAGGCACTTTGGATAAAAGCATAAATGTAAATGTGGTCACTGTAAACTGCCCCAGTAAGAGCTGCACAGAAAAAAAAAATTACTTTTGTGTTTTACAGAAAAAAAAGCTTTTTCACGACTGGTTTGGTACGACATAATCATGAGTAAATACAGACCATCATTTTTGGGTGAACTATTCCTCCAAACACAAAACGTGCCTAGTTTGATAATTCACCTATTAGCTTCTTGATATCACAATAGAGGTTTTGAAAGAGGAAGGAGCTAAGATGATGTTTCTGAAATGATTTCAGCATCTCTTTAACATCCCAGTGTGTTCTTCATAGCTACAAACCATTTTGGTCTGGCAGACCCTGAGCTGGGAGCGAGAGAGCAGGAGAATGAAAGAAAAAGATACAAGTGAGAATGACAGGAAGGCAGGGAGCACGTTTGGCACGCTGACACGTCTAGTCTCTCCATGCTACACGTCTGGCTCACATGTGGACAGAAAAACTGAAGAGACCTGACCTCAATCAGCTAAAGCACAAACCACAACCGTCTCCCACGCTCCGTCTTCCCTCAAATTGTCTCATCCTTCATCCAAGGAGTTCATATGTACGGCACAAACTTTTGATTAGATACAAAAATGTGCGGTTTCTGAACATAATTGTAATACAACAGTGATAAATGGATAAAGCGAGAGCCATAAAGGCATCCAGAAGGCAGCAGAAACTGCATAGACATCATCTCAGCGCTCCAACCAAAGCCACAGCCTGAACTTTCAGGATCTCGGGGTTTCGAATGTTTTGGCTGAGGCGTCCACGTCTGCTGCTGGTCTCGGCTGGTATACCAGTGACAAGTGAAACGCCATTGCAGTGGCCAAGTCAATGGGCATTGCAGGCCGCATGCGTTGTGCATTTATGGAAGGAGCTTAAAAGAATAAGGCGAACCTGCAGGGCAGCCCGTGTCATCTGGCAACGGTTTTTACTCTTCAACCTCCCTCTCGTTCTGCTTTCCTCATTAGACTGCCCCGATCACGTGGTGTGGCAGGTATAGTGCGTGTATGTTTGGGGGGTTGACGGGGCAAATTGCAGGGTTTACAGGCCAGCTGTGAGAACTTAGAGTCCTGACATATGGTGAGGTGAGGAAGTTTGAACAGCCACATCCCTAACAGAACATGGAGCCATCGCTGGCGGTCGACCTCGGAGAACGAGATGTTCCACATATAGCAACCTACGTCTGAATCGTCCACCAAACACCTCATCTCTCACAAAGCGCTCACTCTCACTTTCCGCCACCTCGCAGGAGTCTTACCCATGAGCTTGGACCACTGAGCAGGTGGTCGGAACAGGGGATACTGTTTGGGGAAGGTCTGTGGACTCCAGTGGCCGGTGAACACCAGGATGTAAGGGGCGGGTCCTCGAGCGCTGCACTCGGTCCCGTTGGTCAGGTTCATTGGGGCCGCGCAGGACAGCGTAAACCTGAGCAGAACGACGAACAGATGCTGCAGCCAACCAGGAACAAAGATCTCCGATGACATCATCTCTGTCAGGAAAAAAAGAGCAGGAAAAGTCATTAGCCAAGTACTGTGCACTTCTTCTGAAGAAAACACAGTTTTTTTTCTCCGTTTTATGGTTAATAGCAACAAAAAGGCCATGTAGAAATCGAATAATAGTTTTTCATGCTACAATAATTCTGATCCACTCATGCAGCAAATACAAATTGCAATGGGAAATGACATAACTGCCTAAGGTTTCTGACACCTTAATCCTCTGTCGAGGAAGCATCTGAGATTTGCAGCTTGCTCCGGATTCAAAGACACCAACCGTCTTATATTACAAAGTTACGCTGCTTTAGAGAAACCCTTATGAGAAACTGGTCTTCTGAAATTTCTGAAACCTAAAAATCTGTCATCATTTACTCTAAACCTGTTCGACTGAACATTCTTCTGAGGAACTGAAAGGGTTAGTTCACCCAAAAATGAAAATTATGTCATTAATGATGAAAATACATTTTGGTCCAAAAATAACAAAAACTACGACTTTATTCAGCATTGTATTCTCTCTCGGTTCTGTTGTCGATCCGCGTTCAGTGACGCTGATGACGTTAGACGCTGCTGACGTGTTCTGGTGCGCCCGAGCTTCCTTTACAGTCTGAGGGAGATGCACGCTGGAAACAAAACAATCTTCGCAAACATGTCTAAGGATTTCGACACAGAGGAAGATTTGCATTTTTTTGCCCAGCCATATTTATTTGAACCCGAATACACGGACACACCAGAACACGTCAGCAGCGTCTTACGTCATCGGCGTCACTGAACGCGGATTGACAACAGAACCGGAAGACAATACAATGCTGAATAAAGTCGTAGGTTTTGTTATTTTTGGACCAAAATGTATTTTCGATGCTTCAAAAAATTCTAACTAACCCACTGATGTCACATGGACTACTTTGATGATGTCTTTATTTCCTTTCTGGACAAGGACAGTATACCGTACATACATTTTCAATGGAGGGACAGAAAACTCTCGGACTAAATCTAAAATATCTTAAACTGTGTTCCGAAGATGAACGGAGGTCTTACGGGCTTGGAACGACATGAGGGTGAGTCATTAATGACATAATTTTCATTTTTGGGTGAACTAACCCTTGAAGTCCTGAGCACTAATTTGCATACAATGAAAGTGAATTGAGACTGGGACTGTCAATCTCAAAAGTCCACCATAAAATAGCCCATATTGGCTGTATTCCACATTTATACGACCGGAATTAAAGTTGTTATGCACTGAAAATCTTCCCCTCCACATTAGCTCTGACATTTCATTAGCATTCAAACGTGTTCAAATATGGAAGACCAAGATGTGTTTGAAGTTAATGATGACAATCCTGTAAAGCAGTTGACATTGGATGTCATTGACATTAAAGCTGGTGTGACTTGTCTTGACATGGCATTTTTGTGCATCTATGCTTTTTTAACCTTTCCTTTAGTATCTAATATTGCTGTTTATGTGCATGTAAACAAACTGCAAAATTACAAAGCACAAAAGTCCACACCAAAGAGAGTGAATCTCTCCAACAGAAAACACTTGCCTGAAACGACTCGTTTGTAGTCCTGCCATTAATATCTGTGACTTAACCATATCATACGGTGGCCGAGAGAGCTCAACGCGCTGCAACTGAAGAAAACACATGCAAATAGAAAACAACGCATGCAAATAGAAAAAAACGCGTGCAAATAAAAAAAAACACCTGCAAATTAAGAAAACATCTTCATCAGTTTCACAACACACGTGTGCTCCAAATACTCACAACACCACCAAATACAGAAACGCGCTGCAAATAACACAGAGCACAACGGAAATGTTTCCAGGGGAACCAAATAAGTGACGAACCCGGCTGGGACGTGCTGGCATAGATATCCATAAATCTATGCGTGCTGGTGCTTACAGCTTAAAATTATACTTTATTTATTTGTTTATTTGTTTGTGCAAAACATACAGAGATTACATTTTTTATGACATACAACTTGTATACAATGTACAAAATGTATTAACAATATGTTCAATGTCATCAGAATACAAATGAGAAAAGAACAATGAGCTGGAAACTAAAATAAATAAATAAAAAAGATAAAGAAGAAAAACATGAAGGAAAGATATTTATCTATACATCAGTTACACTGTACAAATTGTTTCATGTTATTACATTTTCATAAAGAAAAGTTTCGTAAGAAATGTTAGGTAATGTAGGGTTCAAAATTTTTAAAGTTGAGACACAGATATATAACGCATATTTTAAAAGCTTTTTTTGTAAACTAAAAATAAAAATGTATTTGCATCCGTTATGTTAACAGCATCATATTTCTGTCGTAAGACCAGCTGATGGACACCGTGCTGCGTTGTCATGGGAACATCCCACTTGTCTTTAGTTGCTCCCTTCATCAAGTGCGTTCCACACGGCTGCCTAACAGCACACTAGAGCCTTGCTCACTCCAAAAGGGCTCTGCAATCTGCCCTTCGAAGGGAGTATGGCATAGGGAAGCTCACGAGCAATAAGCACGTCTCAGCCGGGTTCGTCACTTATTTGGTTCCCCTGGAAACATTTCCGTTGTGGTCTGTGTTATTTGCAGCTCGTTTTCTGTATTTGGTTGTGTTGTGAACTTTTGCAGCGCGTTTCCTTATTTGGAGCACACGTGTGTTGTGAAACTGATGAAGATGTTTTTTTTTATTTGCTGGTGTTTTTTCTATTTGCACGCGTGTTTTTCTATTTGCATGTGTTTTTTTTTTTCTATTTGCATGCGTTTTTTTCTATTTGCACACGTTTTTCTCTATTTGCATGTGTTTGCTTCAGTTGCAGCGCGTTGAGCTGTCTCGGCCACCGTAATATCACCATGTAAATACATTTGCATAATGTTGCCTATTGTCTGCTTTGGCCGCTTCAAAGAACAGTTGGGTAGGTGATTTCACCATGTCGAGGAGATGCTGTTTTTTCTACTACAAGGGCATGTGTACATTTCTGACTAACACTTTGACCAATCAGAGCAGACTGGGCTTTTCGGAAAGGCGGGCTTTAAACCTTAAACGTCTTCCCATCCGGAACGTCATTCTCATACCCTCCTCATCATCCTTTTTTTTTTTTTAAGTTAGACATCAAAGTTCTTAGTATTCCTCAATCAATTCATTATAAACAATATACCGTAAACCTACAAATAGTAGCCCGGGCTTTTATTTTCCCAAATCGTCGAACTGCACCGGCTTGTATTTGAGACAGGCCTTTATAATTTAGTGTTGAGATGTTGTTCATTGAGTGTATAGGCCTGTCTCTAATCTCTAAAAATCTCCAAATGCTCCACGTGAAACTGCGGTCTTCCGACCTTTTACTATCGTGTCAATTGATTTTGATTAATATGCGCGAGGGAGACAGAGCAAGACAGCGCTTGAATTGTTTGAATTGTGCGCGCGCGCGGCCGGGGCGCTCTCTCTCTCTGCTCGTAACGCGCCCTGTCAAGCGTAGCAGTCATTCTATCCTACATCACTCATCGATCAAAAAAGGCTTTGGCGGGACAAAAAATTTGCTTTGGCGGCCGCCAAAAGCGGACGATCTGACGTTTTTAGAGGATTAAATACAACCCGGAACTAAAAAACAGACCCGGCCTCTATTTGACATAGATATCATGTAATAAAGGCTAGATGTCTCGTCCTCGCTGCTGGCCAATGGAGGTCGACATCCGCACGTGGCGGCCATCTTGTCACAGGCAGCTCGCTCACTCGTAATATTGTGTTTTAATGGTGCATGTACTTTTAAATAACCATAACTTGCTCAATTTTCTACCGATTTTCAAACGGTTTGGTTTGTTATAAACGTCAGAGATGACACTGCATAGATATGAATAATTATAACATATATGTTCAAGCATTCAGAATTATAGCCATGTTAATAACGTTTGTAAGAAACCAAACCGTTTGTAAATCCGTCAAGATTTCAGCGAGATAAGAGGATTTGTGTTCATGCTGATCACTCACCTTACATCAGAGCCTGCGACAAGATGGCCGAACGGTGATGCCGGAAGTGACTCCGCCGTAAGACATCTAGCCTTTATTATATGATATCTCAGCCCGTTCTCATCCCAAAGCGTAATATATTGACTCTTTTGACAAAGCGTGTATATCCAACGCACATGGCACCCTTTAGCGTCATATGAGACGCAGATATATGGCGCCTCCTAGTGGTCTAACCCTAACACTACCCCAGACCTAAACCTACCCAAAACCGAAGCGTGTTATATTGATGCTAAAGGGTGCCATGTGCGTTGGATATAGACGCTTTGTCAAAAGAGTCAATATATTACGCTTTGGGATGAGAATGCGTTGGATATCTATGCTATTTGAGACCGGCCTTTATTTAACCAAACCTGCAGCCACACCAGGCGTGTAAAAGAGACAGGCTTCAATTTGGGACTCGGCTATTATTTGAAGTTTACGGTAACAAGACAATATATTAAAAAAAAAAAAACATGAATTTTTTTTGTAAAAATTGTATAGGGTCGTTAACGACCCGAGGTGTGTAACAGTGCAAGTATATTTTTTCCTGCTCAACAATAATTGAATCTTTGATGACTGAATAAGTGTAATGTCTGATACACAATGATGAAGTGACGTTTCACTCATAGTTACCGCAGGCAGAAAACAAAAGAATAGGAAGTATCATCAGCAAAACTTGAAATGGCTCAGCGATTTACTACAGAGCAAGTACTGAACGCAATCAAATATTAGTCACTGTCACTTGATGGTGAATCTGTCAGCTATCAAAATATTGATTTTGAATATGTTGAAAATGATATAGTAATGATATAGAATATGTATGAGATGGCGAGTATGAGCCAGATGCTGAATGTACTGGAAAAAGAGCTGTGACGAGGTGTGAGACAAATAATGTGTTTTTGAACTTCAAATCATGCAAATGTTTTCTAGCAGACCCCAAAATATAATTACAAACGTGTAAATGTGCATACTACGGGCACTTCAAAATTCATGAATATGCATGAGATTTAACAGTTGTTTTTTGTCTATTTTGAAGCTTGACAGCGCCTTCCCCTTTCATATTCAATGTATGAAAAGGAGCAAGGTGAACATTCAAAATATTTCATTTTGTGATTCAAGAAAGACTTTGAAACAACATATGGGTGAGTAAATTTTGCTTTAAATAAAACATAATTAACAGCTGTTCACACAGACATATGTGATGAACTCAACATCACCACAGCACATATTTACCCAGAATCCCACAGTCACATCCCAGCCAACCCCCCTCTTCTCACAACAACCCTAGGCTTGCGGTTTATTCCTGACTAAATTAAAATAACACAACAGCAATGGCTTGTGTGACTGATTTATTTTCATCCCATTTATCCTGTGATTGAGTGTATTACGCAAGGCCAGCTTAGACCCCGGGAGAAGGTTTAGAGGATGACTGCATGGGATACTGGGATCTGCACCGTCTGCCACTGTCTTTTAATAAAGAGGCGAAGCGACAAAGGGCACAAGTTCATCACCGCAGGCTCAGACTATCGCTCCGGCCCCGTCCGCTGGATCCCCACAGTTTATAATGAGCCACGATCAGATGACAAACCCTCAGATCAAAGACAGAGGCTCACAGCGTCCTCGCTTCTGGTATTTTTATGCTCGCCTGTTAAAATTTGAAGCCATTAATGTAGGTTTAGGTTGGACCTGTAGTTCATATATACTGTATATATATATTGAAAGGGTGACTCTGATGTTATTGAAGAAAAACAGCGGACAGGGTTATATTAGTGCTCATAATGAACAGATATATTAAGATCCATGAGGAGAGAGGTCTTGAGTCACCAGAAATGACCTCATGTCTAATGGACATAGTTCTGGAGTGAGAGAGTAGCTAAACGCTCCTTGTTTTAAAGCCGGCTAGACCGCAGGTTCAATGGGACATGGATAAAATCTTACGAGTGAGAACTGAGCGTGCACTCCTTTGTGGTTTCCTTTCTTTCTCTTCAGAACTCAGAGTCTCTTTCTCCAATGTTTGACAGATCAGGTTTCGGCATCTTTTGGAAAATCTGAAATGGTCACGGCGCTTTCACACATGCAGACTTTTCCAACTGCATTTTTCCAATTTAGAGGTGAACCGTGTGTGAACACAAATGCCGGCAAATCAGCCACAGCAATCTGGCCGCGGGAGAAGTTGTAACATTGCTGGAAAAATTCTGAAATGATGCACAAATTCAAAGAGCTCTGACACAAGAAATCTGCTCTTCGATTCTTTCACAATACTTAAATACACTAAAGGCAAACCTAATGTTTTTTCATGCACTGGTCAATTTTGAGATTTATTTTGCTTTCGTAACGTCTTCTTTCAGACTAGTGGAAAGAAAACATGCTAAATACACATTTAAGTGTTTATTACACTTTTGACTATTTGCGTCTGTAGTCTGTAATTACAACACATATAAAAAGTTGTTGTTTTTTCCCATGCAGAAATATTCACTTCAGCATCACTTACACACACCAGACTTTACAGTTTTGTTCCCAGCTCTATTCTGAAGGGTTTTTTTTACAGAGGGGTTTGTTCATATATAATTTGCCTGATATAACATTTTATGGCTATTTTCGACAATATTTTCTGATTTTTTTAAGTGATAAAAAGATCCCAAATCCCCTCTGCAAATCCTTTAGAATTCCTTTATTGATCCCCAAGGGGATTTTGGATCTTTATTTAACTCTAGTAAGTCAATAAAATGACAACCTTATTGGATGTTCAAATTTCTTGGTTTCTGTAAGCAAATTGCTGCATATTTAATTAGATAATGTCTTATTTGCATATTTAAACATAACATTTCAGAAAACTTTTAATACAAAACAGTTGTCTTAATCAACTTAGGAAGTATCATGATAAATATTAGTTAACATTCTACCACATTTACAGACACTAAAAGGACATTTTAAAATAATAATTATAAAATAATAATAAGAGTAATAGGTAATTATCAGTGAATGTACACATTTTAATACTTAGCTTTAAAATATTATTGAAAGCATTTTTGAAAATAAGTTGTTTATTCATATATACACTACCAGTCTAAAGTTTTTGATCTGTATTATTTTTCATGTTTTTAAAAGAAGTCTTTTCTGCTCACCAAGACTGCATTTATTTGATAATATATATATATATAGTTAAAAAAATTATGACAATTTAAAATAACATAATAATAAAAAAAAAATTCTATTTTAAAATGTAGTCTTCACTGTCACATGATCCTTCAGAAATCATTCTAATATGCGAATTTGATGCTCAAAAAACATTTATTATTATCAATGTTGAAAAACACTTTCTCAGGATTCTCTGATGAATAGAAAGATCAAAAGAAGAGCATTTATTTGAAATAAAATATTGTGTAACAATATAAATGTCTTTACTGTAACTTTTGATTAGTTTAATTGTATTGATTAAAAGTATTGATTTCTTTTTTTTTCTTTCCCCCCAAAACATTTATAAAGATTCTTACTGACCCCAAACTTTTAAACGGTTGTGTTTAATGTTACAAAAGCTTTCTATTTCAGATAAATGCTGTTCTTTTGAACTTTCTATTCATCAAAGAATCCTGAAATAAAAATGTAAATAACTGTTTTCAGCAATGATAATAATAAATGTTTCTTGAGCATCAAATCATCATATTAGAGTGATTTCTGAAGGATCATGTGACACTGAAGACTGGAGTAATGGTGCTGAAAATTCAGCTTTACCGTCACAGGAATAAATTACACTATACTATATATTATATTCACATAGAAGTTTTAAACATTTTAAAGTGTAATAATATTTTATAATATTTTTATTTTATTTTATTTTTTTATTCAAATAAATGCAGCCTTGGTGAGCAGAAGAGACTTCTTTTAAAAGCATCTCTTGGAGATCCCAAACTTTTGACCGGTAGTGTATATCAGTATAGGCTTTTGGGGAGTTACACCACATGACATTTACAGCCTGAACTAATCTTTCCATGTCATAAAAAGGTCAAATTATCTGATATTTAAAGAGACTTATCGACCTTGGCTCACAGTTATGAGGGTCCGTGGGGGTTGTCTCTATGACATCATTTCCTCTCTTTTTTTCATGCATATTGGTTGCACCACATGAAAATCATGCACATCTACATTTTGGAAAGAAAACCAGACAAGCATTGAAACAAAAGAGCTTCCTTTCATCTGTGTAGATGAATAAATTAGTCAACAGACCTTAGAACAGATTTCTGGCGTAGCTGTTTGAAAGACATTTCCCAATTCCACCAAATAACATCACAGAGTTTTAACTGCATTTTAGTGCTGATGTGTAAACGGGAACAATAAAATCTGTTGAAAGTGTGAAAAGCAGATGTGGCATTTGCCAGGGGAAAGTAATCCAGCCGTTTTACTGCAATGTAACTGGTTTCATGTGACTATAACCTACAAGCATCAGGCACACATGCTGCAATTGCTCAATAATGTTTGTCCTCAGAACAAACAGATCTGTTTGTTCATGTGAGACAGACATTGCCTTGAAACAATGCCTTGTCTATCTAGTGCAGTCAGCATTCCCAAAAACCATCCGCTGGCTATTAAAACCGTATAAATATTTTGATCTCCCATCTGCAGTGACATTTTGCACGCGTACAAATGCAAAGTCCCACTTTTTCCACATTATCTCTTACTCTGGGGATTGGGCAGTGACGTTAAACTACGCATGTAACAAAATTCAGGTGTGTTTAGCGGGTTGGGGATGCACTTGCCAGTGGTTGCAGATGCTGCGTGACACTGACCTGAAGCAAACCTCCCTCTGTTTGCCGTGTCAAAAGACACACGTATTCTCAAACGCAGAGACGCAGCAAACCTCTGCTCTCAGCACGAACCAGACACAACAAAACCAGGGGAGACGGAAAAGAGCCAAAGAAAAGAGCCTGCGGTTTTTCGACACTTAAGCTTAAACTTACAGGGAGAGCAATTATGAAGCCGCAGTGCGCTTGTATTGCAAGCCGGAGTCGCATGCAAATGCAAAACCTTCAGAGTAAGAAATGAATGAGAAGAGGGGGGAAATAACAGTTAAATAACTGTCAAGAGCAGCACATGTGTTAAAACACTTAAGGACTGCAGTGTTGTTCCTCAAAGAGACGTCAAACCTGCAGAAGAGGAGTGTGGGAAGGTTGCGTTATATAGAGGCACAGCAGGAGAGTTGAGAAGCAGAAAAGCAACCCTTGGCTTAACCTTTGCCACAGCAGCCGGTCTGAGCGTAGGACACACACACACACACACACACACACACACACATATGCTAGTGAATGGCTCACTCTTACCTGGCTGTGATGGTAGACAGCAGGACAGGGTTTGTGGAGATGTGCACTACGGATCAAGATACCTCGCTTTCATGCTCTCTTTCCCCTCCTCTTTCTCCTCCCATTCTTCACCCCCACCTCTCCATATGGGTACACACACACAAACACTTTCTCTCTCTTGTAACAGTCTTGCTCTTTTTTCCTGTCCTCTCCGTTTATCTCTTTTTCTTCTCCTGTGACATCACAGAAGGTCCCCTGTGTAACGCCCAAGTTGATGTGTTCATATATTAATAACTGACTCCATAAGTAAGCACTCATCTAATAGTTTATAGCTGTCTGAGCTTTGGATTCCTGTTTGTATCTGGGAATTTCAGTGATGTTTTGCTTAAAGAATTTCATGTGAAAATACTTAACTTTGTAATACAACTGCGTCATTTGTAAGTTGCTTCTCCTGGAAAGTGTAAACCTTTCTCTGTGGCTCTATCAAAACATTGCTCGGTTTGTTTGTGCAACCAGCCTGACAACAGCTCAGCCAATGGCGTGATTTTGGGGGCGGGGCTCTCTGTTTGTTTCGCCTATTGTAGAGGAAGGGGAGTGTTTGGGAAACTTGTTTGAAAACAGTCATCGGGTGCTTCTGAATAGGCTTACTTCTCTGCTAGCAGGTGAATAGTTGTCAAAAAAACAGCTGTGAAAAAGTAGAATACAGAGTATTAGTGAAATAGGAGGCAAAAGGGACCCGGTTGACCTACTATTTGACCTGACATATTGCTATATTACTCTCCCATGAGGTCACAGGAGAGGAGTTGTAAATGGCAGTGAAGCAACACAAATGACACTATGACAAATATTAGTACATCCAGATTGCATTCTACTGCATATACAGAACTTTTTAACTACCAGGAAAAAGGTACTTTTTTAAGAAAACACACCTACTATGCCTACTTCCATTTTCAGACGCAGCCATATTTTAACCTTCCGTTTCAAACTGCGTAGATATTACACAATTCAAATGAAAGCTTCAGAGCTTTACACACTGAAGAAATAAATTATTCATAATTGATGTTTTTTTATTATTATTTATCTCATTAAATAAAAATGGGAGTTGTCGCTTTGGTAAACTCCTAAAAGTAACGTTTTAGCTGACGTATGCTTTTAAAATGTATGCAGCAGTCTTTCTTTTCATCGAAAACAGACCAAAAATTGATGACTCATCTTGCACACAGGGGTGTAACCAATTTTTTATACAATGTTCTCTAAAATAAGAAGGTCCCTCCCTCTAATACCACTTACTGCTGACAAGAAATAGCAAGTGACAACTCATTTCTAACAGCTTTCCTAAACACCCCTCGATCTGCCATTGGTCAGACAGACAGAAAGCTCCGCCCCAAACTCACACCATTGGTTGAGAAATTATTGCTGTGTTGGGCTTCTCAAACAAACAGAACAGCAGCACCACAGAAAAATGACACGCTTACAGTTGACTGTATATTAATGTATTTCTTTGGCTTGCAGTGGATCGAACAAGAAGCCTGAAAATACAAAATCGTATCCTATTACACACAGATATGACTTGCCAACACAATGCCAGAGCGTTGCTATGCAGTTGCTAAAGTGTTTGGAGTGGGTTTGTTTTTGTATGCTACTATGTTTCCAAAAGGAACTTGAGTCCCTTCAGGCCAACATCCAATTGCTTAGAAAATATTTCCTCTGTGAGCCATGACTTTTCATTCCATATATCATATCAGAAGCCCAAACAATCTGAGGCATGTTACACCATGACATTCAATAGCTAGGGTTAGAGATTTGAGCAAAAGTAATAGAGTTGGTTGCTTAAGTAATTCTGCACTGATACGGCTGATCTACAGCAGATCACACACTTGCACAAGAGGTTTTATCAGCACATCCAATTTGCCAAATTAGAAGTGTTCCTGGGTCAACATTCCTGTCCAAAAAATGTGTCTTAACCATATCCCTATCCCAAAACCTAACACTATCCATCAGTTATCCTTAAAATTAAAGGGAAATGATAGGTGAATAACACTGATGTAGAAGCACCAAACCCTGGTTCACACAAACTGTAAACTTGTCCCTCAACTGATTGGTTAATTGCAATGTTGTTGCACTTGGTGAAATCAGGTTCTGAGTTTTAGCAGAGGAAGATTGATTTTAATAATAACACTCATAGACGTGAATGACATCTGGGAATTTTCTGGTTAGAAAGCAGCCGGTCCCTGTGGGAGCTCACGTCAGTCCAACATAAGACACATTTGCCCATCAAGAAAAGACACTAGCAGAAAAGCTAAGTAGATTTTACTAGGCTCCATAAATCAAGACTGGCATTTACAGGAAAAGTCCAATGTAAAAGCATCTATTCATCAAATTTGGTAATGCTTACCGTGTCAGGCGAAGGTAGTCATCACTTCATCAGAGGCCAGACTCAATGGTGATTGGCTTGCATTGACGCAGATGGGATTGGACACCGCAAATGAAGTGATCGGTTTGAATGTTATGTACACTGAGTACACTGACCCTAACATGACCCTCTCCTGGACAAAAGCCCTTGATAGATCTGCCAATGGGCAAGCAAGAGGGATGAGGGGAGCTGATGAGACCAAGAATGTACAATAAACAGGAGTATGCATGGAGCATTTTCGCAACTGCGCACACCGTCTCAATGAGCAAAGAAGTTGCAGCCAAATGCAACTTAAACTTGATCTATGTGGCAATATTTCACGAGTACACTAAAACCAAATACTTCACTAAGATTTAAAACTCTAGGTTTTTATTTATTGACTTGTTTGTTCAGTTTAAATAACTGTGGTTGCGAAAATAGCCAAAGTTTTGTAATCCAAGAAACTTTGATCGATTTTGGGGCATTTTGGGTAAAGAGTGACATAAGGTACATGAGCTCATGCTCAGTCGTCTAAGGACAATAAAACAAATTTAGCATTCAAAAATGTCATTTCTGCTCAGTATTTCAAGTGTGGCTGTCTATTCCTTCAACAGCTCACTTTTTCCTGTCATTTAACCTCCGACAACTTGTCAGTGACGTCATTCTGTGGGATTAAGTGGCGATGCATTGAAGCCATGTCAAATAAACTGCCAATGTCCAGCAAGACAAACCTGTAGCAAAAAAGAAAAACCAATTACATGGGGTCAGAGTGCTGGATAAACAGTCATTCTCTGCTGACTGACTCCCATAAACAGTGGAATCTAGTTTTACGTCTTGTCTGAGGTAAACCATTTTAGACATAATACATGGTCACCTTCTTGTCTGGAGTTGCAGCGTAGACATATGCAGTGGTGGCCTCTGATAGGTTTCACCCAACGGGCCTCACAACAGAAGAGTCCTTGCTTGCGCTCGAAAAAGAGCCCCGTCCCCGCCATCATGCCACGCGGCACGCGCACACCTGGGTCTGAAATTAACAGGGGCTTGGTGCTTAAATGCCACCAAAATGAATAAAAATGCCTCAAAAATCCAAGATATGGTGCACATTTTTTTCTAAATTCCTGTATTTATTATTTATTTATAAGCACTACCACACGAGCAAGAGTGCTGTTTTCCCGAATATAAGCAGCACGTTTGCAAATGTAATATTGATTTTATACAACAGTTCAATACACAAGTAGTTAATCTTAGGTGACTTAGATTTACCTGACACCGTTTTCAACTAAAAACGTAAACTTTATGCGTTTTGGCCGTTTGTTTACACGACAACAGCGTTTTGGGTGCCTGAAAACAAACTTTTGGAAACGGGTTTCAAAGTGCATTTTTCAAAACGGTCTCTGTGTTAATACGCCAATCTCTGAAGACAATGACGTCATGCACATGCCTATTACGTGTTTAGTCTATAGCAAGGGTGTAGGTTTGGTCTCAGCTTTGGTGGGGACATCCCACCCCACACCACCCCCTCGGTTTTTCAGCCAATCAAATGATGGCGTTTCTTGTACTGTCGTCCTGGCCGTCGGAATCGATCCAAATAGAAGCACTAAGGAGTTCTCTAAAATATTGGACAATTTTGTCATTTTAAAATATTGATTAGGACTAGTACCTAGGGTCCCCCCCTAAACCAACACCCTTTAAAGAGAATTTAATATTTTTATATTCTATATAAACCATTAAAAAGTAATTGTGAGGAATGTGGGCAAGCAAAATGGCTGATTATTAGATGAAAAAGAAAGTGCATATGTAAGAAAAAAAAATCTGTGCATATGTATTTTAGAACCGTCAACACTTAAATAGTCAATAAGAAGACTAATAACACTCGATATGCTTACAAATGTGTAATAACTGGCTATTTTCAAAGCCTGACACAAAATAAAATGCACTTCATTGTGGTAAATGTTTTATTGGAGGACGTTGTGGAAAAATCAGTTGTAAGCAACATTTTGAAACCACATGCATGTAAAAGATTAGGTTAGTGGACGTCAAAAACAAAGAAACTTTAAAGTTTCAACATCTCTGTGTTGCACAATCCTTACAAACCTTCAGACATTGATGAATCACTGCACACACACAAAAAAAATCATTTTTCTGACATCAGCTGAAAGGAGCAACCATCGTAATAAAACTCCATCACACTCAACTACAGAGGAAGCGTTGTTTTTTTTCGACACCGTTTTTCCAAGATGGCCCATTTAGACAGGAGTTTCCTTCATTTACAAGACAAATAATGTTTACTGCCAAACCTTTATGGTTAACCTACACTCCTAAACTTCAGCTTTTAACATAAACAAACTGAATTAACGAAAAACAGGTGGCATAACGTTCTACATAACTCAGTTATGCACAAAAGGGTTTTCCTGTCCTAAACGGAAGACAACAGGACTTAAAGCAACAGTTCACCCAAAAATGAAAATTCTGTCATCGTTTACTCACCCTCATGTCGTTCCAAATACGTAAGACTTTCGTTTATCTTCGGAACACAGCGTAAAACTAATCCGTATGAATTGAGCAGTTTAGTCCAATTTTCTGAATAGACACAATTGCTTTATATGATGAACAGATTGAATTTATTCACACATAAACATTCATCAACTCACACATCAGTTGTGGTAAACGGAAGCTCAAGCATGTTCGCTTGCCATGCGAGAACCAATTAAGTTATTTCTTGTTACGCAGCACGTT